TATATTATTGTTTATTGTTTTTTTTAATCATTATTATTATTTTTTTCCTTTTTTTTTTTATTTGAAAATAAATAATCTAGATTGAATTGACAGATGGGGAAAACTCGCTTCTAATAAAATATTAAATAAAAAAACGCTTAGATTTCGGAAAAAAATACAATCCTTTTTTAACCTTTTGGCTTCCCGTACATTCAGTTGCGCTTCTAGCTCGTATTCACTTCTGTTGGTACGTATCACGTATGGTAACTGGGCAAAACTACGCATGATTTGTTGTAGTATGATTGCATAAAGGAAGGAAACAGGAATTCCGGTAGGGAACAGAATCGACTGACGTGCAGGCAGCGCTGCAGCAGTGCAGCCACTTAAACAGAGTTTGCCCTTCCCCTGCTGACTTTCACTTTCGGTGCCCGAATGGAAGTGAATGAGGCTTTGCGATCGCGATTATTTTTTTATTTTATTTTTTTTTCTCGAAGGGCAACTTGAGTCAGGAAAGGCAAACGGGCAGTTGCCCGGGCAACCAGAGCAACCCCCTGTGCACGTCCCTGTTGAATGATCAAGCAGGGGTGCTGGGGAGTTCTGCAGTATTGACGTCCACAGCAGTGGCACATGGCTGTAACATAGTTAACACACAATAGCATGGATTTAGGATAAAGGATAAATGTTGTTCATTGGTCAGAGGTAGTAAATCATGCAAGGTAAATGTTGATAATGTAATCACTCATTTTGCATTTTAAATATTTGAATAAAACATAAAACTTACATCAACTTCAAGCATCAAACTCTCTTTCGGCTCTTTGAAGTACAACATTAGAAGCAGCACGATGCAGGCAGCCTTGTTAGAGTCTGGATCATAGCAGGCCAGAACATCACGGATCTTGGGGTTGTCCAGTGTTGCACAGTAATCCAGGATGGTCTGTCCTCGTCGACTAATTGCCTCCTGTAGCTTCTGAAGGACATCGACGTCCGTCAGGAGGCCAAAGTGTGAGAATAGGCATTTCTGAGAGAAGAGAAATGGCCATTCCTATTCGAACTCAGACATCGCTGGAGCAGGCACTTTGTTAAGGTATTTCCGCAGGATGACGTATGTCTTTTCCATCATTGGTTCTGCTCTCTCTGCCCAACTCATTCCTTCCTCTGTGTATACAGACATACAAATGTATTGTTAGTACCCAAGTAACAATTTGGCCTTGTAGCCGCCCAACACACACAGTGTTCAGATCTTGACCAATTACTAAAGTCTAAACAAAATTACCCAAAAAGAGAGTAGATGGCATGCCTGAGTAGATGTTCAGCAGATCCCTCTTCATATTCTCCAACGTTGCCTCAGTCTCCCCCTCTGGCGAATCTGCTGGGCCCCACCTGACACACCTAGGAGTGGGCATCACAGGGTAACAATACTATTGGGTCGTCTCATGACTGAAGGGTCAGCAGTTTGATTCCCTGCTGTAACTGTCTAAATAGACCCATCCCACAGAATTTATGTTACAGTGTAATAGTTTTGTAAACACAGGTGTATTTTATCAAACTAAATAAAGGGATATTCCACCATTTGGGGAATTAAGCTCATTTTCCACCTCCCCTCGAGTAAAACAATTGATTTTTACCTTTCTCCCATCCATCCAGCAGTTCCCTGAGTCTGGCGATACCACCTGAAAGTAGTCCGCGTTGCACTCTACGGGGACTATTTTCACGTGCTGCGTAATATCACTGCGCCCATAGTACGTTTGCAATGTTCCTTGATTATTACGCCAGAATGAGAGTCCATAATCACAGTTAATTACACTATTAACATCGCAACATGCTTGCTGTGAAAAGGGACCATGTCAAATTGTCAATAAAGTAGTCAAGAGAAAAGTATGTTTTGTCCTGTTTCATGGTTATTCATGGTCATATACAATGCTTTCGAACAAATATTGACAGACTTTATATATTGCCACATACCCGTATTGGTCAACAGGACCACTTGCCAGTCTGGCCTCTCCTGCCATTTCCGTGCGCGGTCTTCTTTCTCTGCGGCATTGAGCAAGAGTATTATTCCTATTTTTGTACTCCACTCTCGTTTTTACTTGTTGCAGAAGAGAGTGACATCCGTCTCCAGCAGTATCACCGTGCTTGCCAATGTCGCCAAATGATTTTGGATGGCTCCTGAAAATGTGGGTGGGATTATTAGAAAACATGTCACCATTGTGGCACTTACGACAGAAGCGTACAGCTAATCTTAAAAAAAAATCAGGCTGAACAAGACCAAAAAAACCCCATCAGGCTGAACAAGACCTTCATAAAAACATGTGAATTAGTATGGTTTTCTTGAATATACTAGCTCTGTTTAAACAAACCATGTTTACAAAGTCTTCACTTTTGCACCCTTGTTACATCATAGGTGCAGGGAATGAATCAGTGAAAGTTACAAACAGTTGAAGGGGGTGGGGCTGGGGATTAACTGACAGATAATATTGATAATAGTCCCATCCCTACCTGACAATGTTTCTCACAACGCTGTGGCACATGGCTCTGGTTGGGTTGCGGTCGTGCTGCATCATTTGGTCCACGAGCATGACCACGAAGGCCTTTCTCTCGTCTGGCAATGGTCTTTCTTCTTTTTCCACTCTAAGTTGAATGGCTGATGACACCTGGTCCCAGTTGAGACGAAAGTCAACATGCCATGGTACGCCAGGCTGTGAAGCGCTTGATGTGCTTGGGGCAGTGCTTGGAGGGCTGGGCAACAGCTGATTTGGAGGCTGGAATGTTGTGTTTGGAGAACATGGAGTTGGAGAACTTGGAGCACTTGGATCAGGAGCAGAGACTAAATCCATATTAAGAGTAACAGGTCCTAGAAGGCACAAAAACAATTTATTAATTAAGATAGGGCAAGATGTAGGGCTATGGGTCAGTAGACTGTGTGCTTAACTGTAGTCTTGCTCCAGTACTTCCTGGAGGAAGCTCACACATTGGTTTCCTGTCAGCACTATTGGATGAAGCAATTCAAATTTATTCACTCGAGTGCCATTTGTTCGAATGTGACATAATGGGTTGGGAGAACGCAGTAGTGTCCATTGACTCATGTTAAAAGAATGCTCTGATAATGCCACTTAAAAAACAATAGTTAAAATAACAGGCCAATACACTATTGGAATTATAAACTCATCATAACAGGGTCTGATTGTTTTTCACTGCTATCGTTATTAAGTTTGGAAATGCATGAAAATAATAAGCATCAGCTGCATTCACTTCTATGTATTTCCAGATGTGAAAACAACAGCAGTGAAAAACCTGAGATTAATCACTTCATCCAATAGTATTTGACAGGTAACCAATGTGTGAGCTTGGGACTACATACAAAGTATATTGTTTACCAATTGTGCCAATGTTCTAAGGCCCTAGTTCAGTGACATGAAAGAGTGAAAAGTGTAATGGGTGAACAGTTGAAATTACCATCCTTGATGCCCTTCATTAACGTCCGACTTTGGATAGGTTTGAGGTATTTCACCAGATCCCTCTCCTCCACCAAGGTCAGATCTTCAATAGACTCGACCCCAAGCTCATCCAGCATGGTGGTAAGAAGGTCATCAGGGAGACCAGGCAAGTATGACCACACTGCTTCCTTGACCTAGTCTCATTAAGTAGTGAATCATGAAAGACTGTAATTTCTCTTTTTTGCCATTACTACACTGTATGCATATTTCCTACTATAGTCTGTTCAATCAACAAAGCAAATTAAAGACAAAATCAACTTTATTCAAGGCTACCAAACAGAATAAAAAAAACTTTGTTTGCTATGACTACATAACCTGCTCTACTACTCACGTCTCTCCTCACGTATCCTGTATCCTCACTTTCCTCCCTGCTCATACTGCCTCTGGAAAAGAATGGTGGAGAGCAATAAGGGACTGATCATACACATTGTATGCTGAAAGAGGATAGTAGTCCAGTAGATCTTCCTGTTTAATGCACACATAATTGTCTTGGGCCACTCCTAGGTCACAGTACACACCTGTGTCACATAACTTTCCGAAAGTATGTTTCTCTTAGACAAAATAGACCGAATTATGAACAACAATAACTAGCATAATCTTCCCCATAAGAAGCCCTTCATCACTGTTCTCTAGTAAAATGTACATCCCCCTTCTGTAATCTGTGCCTTTGACTGTAACATAGTTACAAGACACTGCTGACTGTAACTGGAATGGACAACTGGCTACAGATGCCCTGATCCTGTCATTGTAATCGTCAACATGAAAATCAGTCCCCTTTTCTGCTTGTACAAGTGGAGGGAACAAGTTTCCTGCACTCAAGTACGCTTGTAGAAGTTGGTGCCTCTCTGCTAGAGTTTTGCACAAATTCTTAAAATTGTGCAATTTTCTGGCACACTGTTTAAAAAAATGTATGTTTGCTCTCAAATCGGAGTGTCCATAGGCGAATAAGTGGGCCAAAGTGAATGATGAGAGATGGATAGTGGCACAGATAATGGTGCTTTGGTCTGAGGGGGGCATTGGGGAAAAGCCTTGTCCTGTTGTCTATGTACTCCTCTATGAGGACTTTAAGATACGCAACCTGGCCCTCTGTAATGACCGGTGCACAGATGAACTCAACAATCTCCCTCAGCTGCAAAATGATTTGCCACACCTCATTTTCGCAGGGATCTTTAATCCTGTCACCCACCATGAGTGGGAGTGGAGAAGTCTAAGCAAACACCAGTTCTGAACTGCATGCCCACTGAGCTTGTCGCTGCTGGGAGAGAGGTCTGCTGGTTTGTCCTTACCATCGTTAACTTCATATCTGAACTGGTTCTTGCACCTGTTTAACTGCAGGTATGTAAAATGATTATCCTCAACTAAATGGCGAATATATAAAGGAAGGTCATAAGCTATGACTCCCTCAAATAAGTCATGGCCTAGACATGGTGGTAGGCCAGGCTGGCAAACATGGAAATGTGAAAGCTGATTGAAAGGAGAGTCAAACTTGATGCCGCATACAGAGTCAGTGGCAGTAGTTTCCTGCTCTTGCAAATTACTTGCGTATGATTGGGCTGTTCTTTTGGTACCACACAATATAGGATTAGTCAGGAAATCATCTCTACACACCTCACAGTAACGACAAAAATAAGTAGACCGACTGAAGTTCTCCAAGAATCCCCCAATACAATGGGATCCCAGGTTGTCTCCTGCAATGGCAACCAAAGAGCCTATAGTACAATGCCATCACATGTGACTACACCTCTCTGCTTCAGAATTTTGAGATCCTCAATCAGGGGAGCAAAAACTTTATTTACCCCAAAAGTCCTGTTCCCTACATAAGAGAACAAGTTGCATCTGATCAATAGAAGATCTATTGTGAGGCAAGATGTCAGTCAGAGTTAGGTAAACCGCTAAAACCTTGTGCTTTTCTTCCCCTGAGCCCAGGGGGTTGACAACCTCAAAGGCATCTTGGTACAGTATTAAACCAAGTGAAGAAGGGTCAGCTTTCAACATTGGATTACTTTGAAAGCCTTCTCCATCCTTGACATCCTGATAGACAGCATCACTAGATGGCTGCAAACGTGTCATGGTATACTGTTCGCGTAGAGACTCATTTTTGAAAAGTGTCACCAATGTCTCATGTATAGGAACATACTGAGCAAAACATTCTTTGTCATTTTCATCATTGCCCAAGAGCAAAGGAACGGGATGAACATAGTTAAAACACTCTTTAAAAGCAGCCTTCCTCTTTGCATCTGTACTGAGCATTGTTATAGAGTGTGATTAGATCATCTCTGTTCATTTCCTCAGTGATGCTACTTATAGTGGCCTGAGGGATTCCGAGTTCTTTTAGTTTCTCACTCAGAATGTTTAGGGAATTGGACAGGCCAATTTCATTAGCACTTTGAAAGCCATCAATAATGGTTTGAATGGTGCTTGCTGGTAAGAGTAGCTTAGATTGCAATTTCAGATAGAAAAGTGTAAGGTTCTGTAAAAATAGGTTTTCGTCAACAGCTAATGGCATTTGTAGGTCATTATGTTCCTCGGCAGCCTCTGAATATGACTGACTGGGTCCTGGCAACAGCTCTGAAGCAATAGACTTGTCTAAAACAAGGTCATCTACAACTGAATCCTCTGCACATCTATGTTTTCTGGAAATATGTGAAGCAAAAGTCATCACGTGTGTGAACGTGCAATCACAACCTCTAAATGGACATCTAGTTACCATTCCTCCCCTTATGTGCGTCTTCAAATGTTTAATAAGAGAGGCCAAAGTGTCACACTTATATGCACAAGCCTCAAGCAGACATTTCAAGGGTGTGTCAGGTGGTAGAGCTGATGTGCCAGGCAGTATAGGCCCAGCAGCCTGCAGGTAGGACCTATCCTGCCTATACATATGAATTTGCAGTCCCGTGCTGAACATAGTTACACACATTCTCAGACACATGCTCACAGCCAACGAATTTACAGTTGAACATTGTGGATACATGTTAACTAGTCACCTACCTAATCTATTTCTCCTCACTCTTAGCCTGACACTGAACAGGATGGTTAGCCTCGCCTTCTGATGACCTGGAAAGAAAAGAAAAGAAAAAGGAGAAATTACACAAAGGCAACCAACAATAAGAATTTCAGTTTGAGTGCAGATTATGATCATTGATTTTCATTTAATTTTAGCCGTATGTCAAAAATGATAGTGGTATATCTATAGTGTTTTTTTTCTGTAGCACTTTGAGATTAGTCACTCAATGTAAAGTGCATTTACAACTTTTACAATTATTATTCATTCATATCAGGACAAGTGGGAACTCTAGTGTTAAAACCCTCTCGTTGTCGAACACGACATGAGACTAACTTACTCCAGTTAGCTCAGTCATGTTGTAACTAGGATATCCGCTGGAAAAATATTTTTTCATGGACCGTTTACATTTACATTTAGTCATTTACCAGACGCTTTTATCCAAAGCAACTTACAATTGAGGACCAAAGTAAGCGAGTCATCGTGACGAGGCAAGAACAACGTGATTTTTGTTGTTTGAATCACTAAGTTTGAATCACTTTCTTTTTTTGACGGTGAATCACCGTTTGAATCACTAAGTTATTAAAGTTAAACAGCTAACAGTTAGCCCTGCTAATCTATGATAACCTTGACTAATTACAGAAATGTGCACACATAAATAGTAATGTTTGTCCCATCATTGGTTTTATAAACTTTACAAACACCAGATTTGTCTAAACGGGGATAGTGACATGAAAAATTGTAGCGAAACTCTCCTCATTACTAACATTACTACTATTAGCAAATGCTGTGAGAGAACTTTCAACAATTCCGGGCACTTGCTAACAAAATGTGAACTGTGTCATGCAATAAACGTTTATTTGAAAGTAAATATTTTTATCATATTAAAATAACATGGGTGTAAGTGCTGCAAACATGCATGCTGCTCACCTTCTCCATTCAGCCTGGAATAGAAGAGGGACACGATGGAGCCTTCAGTTCAAAACAGTTTGGTTATGTCATGTGACTTCCAAGGGCATATTTCAATACAGTATTTCACTGTAATAATACTGTTTAATGCTGTGAAATCCTTAATTTTTTTCACTGTGTTGCTGTGATATTACAGACCTTGTTGTGATATAACAGCAGGTTTTAGATTGCAAGATTGTACTGTAAAATAAGAGTTAAATTATGTAAAATCCAAGGATACTGTAGTTTTTACAGGTATTCATTGTTATATTACAGGGAAACTTACTGTAAAATAATACTTTTAATTATTGTGAAATGCTGGTAATTTCTAACAGTTAAACTTACTGTGTGAAAATCTTACTGTAATTGGTGCTGTTATGCCACTTTTTATTTCTACTTTGCCCTCAGGTCACCTGAGTCTTTCATAGCCCCGCTGTACTTCTCACCAGTATACACTGATCGGACCATGCTGGCTGGCCTGGATTACAGCCACCGTGTCCACAGTCCAGCCAGGATAAAAGCTGATGACACAATTCAGTATGTTTTTATTACTCCTATGCATTTTACTCAATACATTTATAAGTGATGAGTCAAAATATTTAACAGTATTCAAATAGCAATAAGTTAATTTGCAGTGTTTTAATTTTCAGCAAGGATCAATGACATTGCCTCATTTTATGTTGTAACCAATGCTTTGTTCCCAACACTTTATCATATCCTTTCTAAAGGAAGTGTCATAAAGAAATGTCATCCTACTACTCGACTAATTTTCCAGCTCAAATTAATGTTAAATAACTAAATCCCCAGCTGCTCAGCAGAAGATTGTTTTAGGATTAATCAAAGCTATCCTCATGTAACCCGAGCTCCCCAAGTGGACAAAATTAGTATTGCATTCTGAAATGCCATTTTAATGTATAAATGTCACTCTGTATTTACCTGTTCATAACCTGATGCCATTCATGTATCTTGCTTATATTCCCTAAGTAAGAACGTGCAACAGCCAATATTATCCAGAAAGCTAGTTAAGTTCCTCTCATCAGATTTGATTCCCAGGAAATGCTAACCTTAAGGCTGAACTACTGACAATTGTTTTCCTTTTATCAAATGTTTAAAACTAAGAACGGTATACCCGTTTGACAATCAAGGTTTGACTGTGGGAAGATATTTGATTACAATACGCACAAATACATTTTTGAATAGACATATTAAAAGTTTAAAGACAAGACAGTTTCTCAGGAAACCGGAAACAAGCCCTCAGGGGGAACAAAGGACTGCCCTCTGGAAACCACGCCCCAACAAACAACAACAGCGACACACGCTCTTGCTCACTCTCTCTTCTCTTGGCCTCTTCAACTGCGCTTCGGCACGCGCCCAGTGTGCTCCCTCTCCCATCAACGCCCTAAGAAGTTCGACCCGGCGCAGCGAAGGCTCTCGTTTCAAGCCACACACGCCAAGCACCGTGACCGGCAACTTACTTGCTTTTTATTTTATTTTGTTTGCTAAAAGTTATCAGACCGTTAAGTTACACTAATTTAATTCAAGAACGACCAAGTTCTTTTTAAGCTTTAATCGTCGAGCTAACTTACACTGCTCCCACTGAAGCCGAACCCAGCCACGTGGGCCTGCCAGCAGTAACCCAAAGGACATCCAAACGAACACCCTAATTGCCAGACCGAGGACGGTCAACACTGGAGTGTTTTTCTTCATTCAGACACGGAGAACCCCCGGAAAATTCCCTAGCAGAAAGCCAGGAATCGGGCAGCTAGCGTGGGGACCCGTAAGGCAAACCAAGGTATTCTGTGATCAGTGATGTCCAATAGTCTGTTAATCCATTATCTTTAGTCCTTAAAACTCCTAGACAAATTTAACGAAGTTAGTATCATCTAACTACTTTCATTAGTTCTCTTCCACCCTATGAATCAAATTCTCCCCACAATAGAACCCCATATTCTCATTGTTTAGCCATTGTTTATTTCTTTGATATTTAACCGCCTTTATGTCACCTTAGTTAGTTAATAAACTTCACTGTAATCACAGGAATTGTGTGTGTGTATTGCCTACCTCCAAGTCCCGGCCACGAGAATTTACCCCTTCGATATGAGACTGACTGATTGATTTTTTAAGATAATTGAGCAATTATTAACTAACTGATCACTAGTGAATTATTAAAACACTACCCAGAGGTCCAGAGACTCTGGGTGAATTAAATCTCCAGTGGTGGCCCGCGAAACAAGAGCTTCATGAATTAATATTCTCTGAATATTAAAATTCATAATTTTGAATTCTCATAAGTTTATTAAAAACATAATAGGCATCGTTTATGGTTCACATGCCCGCCTAAATCATATCTTTAACACATGGAACACACTAGCTGTGGTGTAACATCAAAGTTTCCATATGTCAACAAGGTGCACAATATTAGGTTGACATGCAAGCACTAGGTCGCCTCACCATCGTAGATGGTGACCCATTGCTGTGACTGAAGGGCAGACAACAATCATGATTAACAAGTAATTAGTTTATTTCTGTACAAGTGTACAGCAGATATATTCACCCTTTGTGGAGGGATTGCCAACACACGCCGTGTGGTACCATAAGGCTGAGGTGTTTGCTGATGTTCAACTGAAACGCAGAGTGGTGACCGCTGTCAACTGCAGTGCGCCCATATCAACCTGTGATATAGCATCGTACAATGCAATGGCGTCACTTTGTGTTGAAAAGTGGTGGGGACATTTAAGAGCTCATGGGTGTGACAAAACACACTCTTCTGCCCAAATGCAGCATGGAGTCAGCTGTGGCAACTTGTGGTACTCAATGCACAACTTAATTCAAACACAACATCTGTATCTGCCATAACTGTTCATCATTTTAAACCCATCAAAATCAAATTCTAAACATGGGCAACAAGACAGGTGTGGTGGGGGAAAGACAAACAAAACCGAAGTGTCCACATGTTAACAAGTCAAGGTCAATATGCAATGCAAGCCTTAGGTCATCTTACATTAGTTGCTAGAGTTACCTACCACTGTGAAGGAAGGAAAGACAATGAAAATGTGCATTGGACAGTAGCCCACTACATGAACATAGTATTGTCAAGATTTGTCTGCATACCCTTTCATCCACATTAGGCATGAGTGTAACTTATTTTGCACAGAAAATTCGGATGCACAGGTGTAGCAACTAAAATCAGGGGTGATGGGTAGTCTATACAAGTTTCAGTTGCATGCCACAGCTTTGTGGGTTTTTGAGCAGATTTATATTCAGTGAGATATAGTGAGTGTCAGTGCGTGTGAGTGATAGTGGTTGAGGTGTGTGTCTAAGGTTGGTATTGTAGGTTCATTGTGTATGTCTGTCTGTCTCTTGTCTCTGTCTCTGTGTATTGTCGTGTATTTGCTTGTTTGTGTGTCTAGTTGCAAGGGTAAGCAGGAGGTAGAGGCAGGTGCAGGTAGGTGAGACAGGTGGAGATAGGTAGGGCCACAAACATGGATTGAGTTGCTGGATCTCCTCCAACATAACCAGTATCCTGAAGGCTTGACCAGTAAGCAGAGGTATGTCATCAAGAGGAGGGCTGAAACTGTCATGATTGGCTTTGCCTCCTCCCCCTCCCTTGTGTGTTCTCAGTTTTTTCCCTCCCTGCTGTTTCTGTCAGTCTTGTTTGTCAGTGTGTGTGTGTGCACGTGCGTGCATGGGCGTGGCTGGCCCTGGCTCATCACCACCTGCAGCGTTCCGCACCTGTGGCTCATCTACCATCAACTCCTGCAGTTAAATACTCCGGCTCAGCTCCCACTCGTCGCCAGTTTACGTCCCGTGGTATATTGCTTCGGCCACACTTCTAGTCTTGTTGAGGATTTCGTGATCTGGCCTAAATCTGACATAAATCATGTCAAATAAATAAATGTTGTCAAATCAAGGTCAGGTGAATGTTAAAATGACTTCACGGGTGCAAGCTCATGTAAGCCTAGGTAAACACTCAAAGAAAACGATCAATCCATAGTGCATGAATACATGATTATTTGAAGCTGATCCTTCACTCACCTTGTCCACAAACAAGGACCGGTTCTCTTTGAGATACATGATCTATGGAAATGCAATTCAAATATAAAAGAAATGCCTTGTGCACCTGATTGTGTAATGGTTTGTATCTGGATTTGTTAACATTTAAAGATTGCTTACAATGAGAGTCCAGTGTCCCTAGTGGCAAACAGCTCCAGCAGCCACATCGCGCTTTGAAAGGTCAAGCTAAGAACAAAAGAAAACAAAAACACATTACAAACATCTTAATGTCAGATATCAAAAACTGGAACGATGAAACATCCTATTCACCCTTCTATAACATTTTTGGGAGCCCTTCCAGACCACTGTCATAGGATAGGCATCAATTATCCTAGCCCCCGTTCTTCGCCCCACAATAAATAGGTATGCATTAAAAAAATCAATAAGTACAAGAGTCACCTGTTATCCATGGTTTCTTTCCACAAATAATTATCAGACAATAATAATTAAAAAATAAGTACTTCAGTTTCCAACTCCTTTCCTGGGGCCAGGTCCATTAAATTTTCTGCATAGACTTTGTATGGCCCAGCTTTGGACCATATCGTCTCTCAAATGTCAAATGTCTAATTACTGTAAAACATCAATGACAGTCAGTTACTTGTTTCTTGTGAAATGCATAATTTAGGGTGTACCTTTGTGTAAGTTTACTCACACATGTCTGCATCCATTGAAGTTGCCACCTTTTGGCACGTGGATGTCTCTCCAACTGTGGAATGTGTGGATGCTGTGAAGGACCAGCCAGAGGAGAAGGATCCAACAATTTCAACAGTTTGGCAGGGATCCTCTCCACTGGCTGGACATAATTTGTTAAGTGGTCAATGTTGATCTTCATTTGTTTTTTTCCCCCCTTGATTGACACAAGGTCAGCCGTGGAGTTCAGTAATTTGCATGTCGGCCTCCAGCTTGCCCTCTTTCTGCTGCTGCTGATGGATATTTTTCAGGAGGAACAGATCCCCCACCTTGAAACTGTCCTCATGGCCCCTCTCCTCATTTCTATTCCAGACCTTGTCCTGTTTTGTTTTTTTATATTGGCCGTGACTTCTGCGTGAATAGATTTCATCTTCTGCAGGCCTACACAGGTCTCCTCCTCACGCAGTAGGCTGCTGACTTTGTCCTCTGTGACCTGCCAGAAATCAGTTAAAAATAGGACATAACTAGTGAACATACATACATAAATACTCTTACTTCATACTCTTTTGGCACCTCAGAGGGATACCTCGCTTCCCTCCCAAACATCAAAAAGTACGGGCTGTACTTAGTTGTCAGCTGTTTTTTTTGTCCGTAGAGCAAACATAGTGGACTGCAGGAACTGGTCCCAGTGTTTGTTCAGGGACCTCAAAATGCAGAAGACAATTTAGGTTCACATGTATAGTAAAGCTTATCTGCAAGGAACACCACATCAACCCATTAGCCTATACTATGCAAGCAAAAATTCATTCAAGTATTAAAAACCAAACCCACCTCTGTATCGTTCCATTCAGTTTCTCCATACAGCCATTGGTCTGTGGATGGTAGGGAGAGCAGAGGCTCCTTTTGATCCCAAACTTCTCACACAACCCATAGTTGACCTTCAAAATGATTAGAGAAACATGAAATAGTCAGCACAGCAGTAGGCCTTATTACACAGAGGGGATACATACGGCATAGTTACTGTACCTGGTTGCAAAACTCTGAGCCCAGGTCTGTTAGCAGTCTTTTAGGTGCACCAAATTTGTAAAAGAAATCAAGTATACAATTTGTCACCTCAACTGCTGTTTTGCTTTTTAGTGGATAGGCTTCTGCCCATTTGGTTAAATCATCAACCATGAGACACATGTACTGATTACCACAACCTGTTACTGTGAGTTTACCCACCAGATCCATCCAAACTAGTGCAAGGGGTTCTGTAACCTGAGAGAAATGGACAAAAACACATGAGAATGATATCGCTGATATGTTTAAAGAGTGACAGGCTATGCCATTGTTTCCTTTACCTCTATTGGATTGTACTGGGTCTTTTCTTTGAGGTTGACCCTCTTAGACTGACATTGTAGACAAACATTTAACAATCCTCAGGGTAACTGACAACATTTGTCCACATCCACATTACACTCTCCTCTGCTCCATCACCGGACTGCACATAGGTGGATGAACTAAAAGTCATCACTTAAAATTACAGTGTCTTTACAATTGTTGAATGATTATTCAACGTCAACTTTTGGAAGGTACTCACCCACTTGCGGATGTCCTCTTCCATTCCAGGCCAGAAGTACCTGCTGATTATAGCACTGTGGGTTTTCTCCACTCCACAGTGCCCACCAAAATGGCTGCAGTGGAATTCCACAAAATTGAGCTGGACTCTTCTGCAGTCAGTACCACTTTGGCCAGGTGCTCTGCTCGTTTTTTTTCCCGCCTGCAAATGTAATGCACGTCTCCATCTGGTGTTTTGATATTAGAATTCAATTTATTGACATTTGTGCCTCAGGTGGGAGGGATAATGGTGTCTGGGCTGGGAGCATCCGTGGGTGAGTGGTAGATCCTGGAGAAGGCGTCAGGTTTTGCGTTCCTAGAGCCTGGCCTGTAGGTTAAAGACATGTTGAAGCGACCAAAAAACAAAGCCCAACGTGCCTGGTGAGAGTTAAGCCTCTTGGCGGTCTGAATCTACGCAAGGTTCTTATGATCTGTCCATACAATAAAGGGCATCTCCGTGCCCTCGAGCCAGTGCCGCCACTCTTCCAGCGCCAACTTCACCGCCAAAAGTTCTCAATTCCCCTCATCAAAATTCCTCTCCGTGGGTGTTAGTTGCGAGAGAAGAAGGCACATGGGTGCATTTTCTAATAGGGACCAGAGCGCTGGGACAATATTGCGCCCACCCCACTGTCCGATGAGTCTACCTTGACGATAAACTGCTTTGTGGGATCTGGATGCACTAGGATGGGAGCAGACGTGAACAGGGACTTCAAACTGACAAAGGCAACCTGGGCCTCAGGTGGCCAGGAGAAAGGTGATTTGGTGGAGGTTAGTTTGGTTAAAGAGGCTGCGACCTTACTGTAATCCCTGATGAACCTGCGGTAGAAGTTAGCGAATCCCAAAAATTGTTGTAGCGGTTTACGGGAAACCGGAACCGGCCATTCTACCACTGCCTGGATCTTGACTGGGTCTGCCTACATCTGTCCTCGCCCAAAAAACTCGGAATTGGAGTGAAATTCACACTTCTCGGCTTTGACTTAAAGCCGGTTCTCCAGCAGCCGCTGAAGAACCTGGCGGACGTGGGAAACGTGCTCAACAGGATCTCTGGGAAAAAAAAAATATCATCCAAGTATACAAAACACTCAGAGTCTAGTGGGGGAGTAGCCCACGCCTACTGAAGAGCCGGGCCTTTTGGCTGAACCAGGCATGAGGAGACAAAGTGACCCTTGCCGCCACAATAGAGGCACTCACCTTGATTGTGTCTGCGGGAGTGTTCCTCCAGTGTCAGCTGGGCCCGACCCAACTGCATGGGCTCAGGTAGGGAACTGGAAGTTGTCTGCGGCCCAGAGGTAGTGGCAGGGATCAGGGGGGCATGCGTAGGTGAGTGGGCGACATGGCCGAGGATCAGAGGTGGGACGGTTAAGCTCACGCAGGCGGTTGTCGAGCCAAACAGACAGAGAGATTAAAGAGTTCGAACTGGAAGGGTCATCCCGTGATGCAAATTCATCCTTGATCTCTTCATTTAATCCCTTCCTGAATGCACCCAGTAGTGCTGCATCATTCCAGCCCGCGTCGGCGGCCAGGGTTCTTAACTCCACAGAGAAGTCCGCCACAGTGCGGGCTCCCTGCCGGAACTCCAGCAGGCGGCGAAATGCGTCACCACAGTGATCGGGATGATCAAAAGCCTCTCGGAGCATTGCCTCAAATTGGAGACGGTTGTAATCGGAATATTGACGTTTACTGCTTCTGCCCAGGCTAGTGCTCTCCCTCTTAACAGGCCCAGGATATAGCGTACCTTATTAGGATCAGAAGCGAAGGTCTGCGGCTGTTGGGTGAACACCATGGCATACTACAGCCACTGAGAAAACTCCCCAGAAAAAGGCTCAGGGTCTGGGGTGTAGGATTTGGTCGAGGCAGCGGGCTGAGGAACAGGTCTTACGGGAGATGGCTGAGTAGAGGAGACTAATTGCAACAGTGCAGTTACTTGACCTGAAAGGCGAGCAATCTGTTTGTGAGTACCTTGTTGTGCGTTCATGAGAGTCCAGATGGATTGGTCGTGTTCTCTCAGGAGGATTCTGAGGCTGGCGAGAGCTGACTGACTCCTCGGGGCATCTGCCGTTGTGTCCATCGAATCCATTGTGTAAACTGAATCCATAGCTGGCCAGTTCGTACTGTTAGGTTACACTGAAAGGATTCAGAAGCGGACACAAGACGGTTAACAAGAACACAGGCAAGATTATTAAAGTGCTCAGGGGAGGCCAGAGGGTTAGGGAGCATTCCAGGCTCAGAGGGAATCCGATGATGGCGTTCTGGAGCGCCGTCAGGGATTACAGACTGGTGGGCGGCAAGCGAACAGGCAGGTAACTCAATGGACGGGCAGGCAGGCAGCGACTCCGCACATGGGAGTAACTGGGACAGATGGAAAACAAGACGTTAGGCCAGATCATGAAATCCTCAACAAGACTAGAAGTGTGGCCGAAGCAATATACCACGGGACGTAAACTGGCGACGAGTGGGAGCTGAGCCGGAGTATTTATCTGCAGGAGTTGATGGTAGATGAGCCACAGGTGCGGAACGCTGCAGGTGGTGATGAGCCAGGGCCAGCCACGCCCATGCACGCACGTGCACACACACACACACTGACAAACAAGACTGACAGAAACAGCAGGGAGGGAAAAAACTGAGAACACACAAGGGAGGGGGAGGAGGCAAAGCCAATCATGACAGTTTCAGCCCTCCTCTTGATGACATACCTCTGCTTACTGGTCAAGCCTTCAGGATACTGGTTATGTTGGAGGAGATCCAGCACCTCTCTAACTATTTTAGGATCCATGTTTGTGGCCCTACCTATCTCCACCTGTCTCACCTACCTGCACCTGCCTCTACCTCCTGCTTACCCTTGCAACTAGACACACAAACAAGCAAATACACAACAATACACAGAGACAGAGACAAGAGACAGACAGACATACACAATGAACCTACAATACCAACCTTAGACACACACCTCAACAACTCAACCACTATCACTCACACGCACTGACACTCACTATATCTCACTGAATATAAATCTGCTCAAAAACCCACAAAGCTGTGGCATGCAACTGAAACTTGTATAGACTACCCATCACCCCTGATTTTAGTTGCTACACCTGTGCATCCGAATTTTCTGTGCAAAATAAGTTACACTCATGCCTAATGTGGATGAAAGGGTATGCAGACAAATCTTGACAATACTATGTTCATGTAGTGGGCTACTGTCCAATGAACATTTTCATTGTCTTTCCTTCCTTCACAGTGGTAGGTAACTCTAGCAACTAATGTAAGATGACCTAAGGCTTGCATTGCATATTGACCTTGACTTGTTAACATGTGGACACTTTGGTTTTGTTTGTCTTTCCCCCACCACACCTGTCTTGTTGCCCATGTTTAGAATTTGATTCTGATGGGTTTAAAATGATGAACAGTTATGGCAGATACAGATGTTGTGTTTGAATTAAGTTGTGCATTGAGTACCACAAGTTGCCACAGCTGACTCCATGCTGCATTTGGGCAGAAGAGTGTGTTTTGTCACACCCATGAGCTCTTAAATGTCCCCACCACTTTTCAACACAAAGTGACGCCATTGCATTGTACGATGCTGTATCACAGGTTGATATGGGCGCACTGCAGTTGACAGCGGTCACCACTCTGCGTTTCAGTTGAACATCAGCAAACACCTCAGCCTTATGGTACCACACGGCGTGTGTTGGCAATCCCTCCACAAAGGGGGAATATATCTGCTGTACACTTGTACAGAAATAAACTAATTACTTGTTAATCATGATTGTTGTCTGCCCTTCAGTCACAGCAATGGGTCACCATCTACGATGGTGAGGCGACCTAGTGCTTGCATGTCAACCTAATATTGTGCACCTTGTTGACATATGGAAACTTGGTTGTTACACCACAGCTAGTGTGTTCCATGTGTTAAAGATATGATTTTGGCGGGTCTTAATAATGACAAGATACGAGGCATGTGAACCATAAACGATGCCTACAACATCTGTGGGCTATCACAAGTTAATTTTGGCTTCTAGCACACGTTGCACAGCTCACTCCACACTGCGCATATGTGGAGAGTAAAAATGCAGACTGTTTGACATACAAGTAAGACAGTGTAAACTGTTCTCAAATCAACGCAACATCAGGTGAATGACGATACATGATGCAAATGCAAGACTGACATGACAACTTAGTTAAGGACTGCAGAGAGTAGAATATAAACATGATAGAAGGTACGAAGCGGTATCACAAGTCAATCTGGGCGCACCGCACAGCTGACAGCGGTCTCCACACTGGTTCAGTCTGTGGCATCAACAAACACCTCGGTTACCTGTATGGGCTGTATCCGATGTAAGTACAGACACCTTAAAAGAGATCATGACACCAATGAGACAAACAACATACATATTTGGACGATTTATTGACGTTTGCAGTATTTTGAACAGGCATCGACACAGTCACCTCAATGATCAGTCCCATTGCCCTCGTTCGAACTAATTTGTAGGTTTTAAATTTCGCTGTAAATCACCATGCAGGGTGACGATGTACACACTACATTCAGAGGCATTTTTCCTGCATAAATATACATGATCGGAACGTATTTCCTGGTTGACAGTCAAGGGATCCGCAAGCCACACCTGCAACACATCTGGGACCAGTTGATCCAGCCACCACTTAAACTGTCACACCGGCTGCTCCGCGATCTCCTGTTCCTGGCCCTGTACGCCCCAGTGACCGACTCCCTCTCCGGGGACCTACAATGGGTTGTGTAGTAGGCCTACTACCAGCGCACTGTGAACGGTTCGTGATTGTTACCTCTGGCTGGAGGAATTTTAAGCATAGGTTAATCCATGCACACTAGATGCTGCTTGAAGTTAATAATGTTGGATTATTGTTTCTTATTTCATGGGCTATATGGGATTTTGGAGTAATAAATATACCTTGTTTTTAAAAGTGTTCCATTTCAATAGTTTAATGTTTCCTAAGGCAATGAGTAATCCTGTTAAATAATTTAGATCTCAA